GTGCCTTCTCAAATCTGGGTATTCAACTCACCAATTTCTTTAACAAATAATAATAAACCCAGTACGATTAGCACATTTTATTAATTTACATGCAAAATCATGTAAAACGAAGTCTTCCTCTGACTCTAGGCACTTTAACATAATTAATAATATAAAAAAACTCCAGCAGCATTAGAATAATTATTTAACCAGGAAACTAGCCATTCAGACCTCTGCAGATACTCCTTTCCATCTGTCCTGGTTTCGGCTGGGATAGAGTTAATTTTCTTCCCAGCAGATTACACCACACCACCACTCTTCATCATTAATTCTCTTCACAAAATGCTATCAAACAGATGTCTTTTGCACAAAAAGATGACCAGATTCAAGCTATTTCAGATGATGACAGAAAACAAGTCCCACAATCCTGCAGAATGCCCTGCCACCTGCTCCTTCAGTTATATTAGAAAAACAACTGGCTGCCGATGACTCATATAAACTGGTCTCCAATTGTTTAAAGCTTTACAAGACAGAACCAGTACCTTAAATACCCTCAGTAACCAGTGGTCATCCAATTAGATGCCAAGCAAGATGTTCTGCTTCAAAAATGAACTGGTTCTGCTCCTGTCACCTGGGCAGGGTGGTCACAGCAGCAGCTGTAAGCATGAAGTATTCTGCACCTCCTTTTCCATCGATTCCCACAGCTGTCTTGTCAAATATTTACAGCCTGCGGGAACGTGGCTGCAAGTACGCTGGTTTGCCAGGCATGCTTGAAAATGCATGTGTTATGGGTGTCATGCTCAGACGGCACTTGTGTGGTAAGCTGAATTGTATTCAGAACAGCTTTAGGGCCATCTATTGCACATAGTACAAAGAAACACATTTTCTGGAAAAGTTCAGTTATACGGTGCACTCCACACTCCTCCTGGAGTGCCCACTGCAATCGTTATTTGTTTTAAATGCACAGAGGTAAGTTAAAAGCTACTTCAGTATTAATGTCATATAATTTTCACACTAATAGTTCAAAGTAAACAAGTTTCAACCACACACACACAAACACTTTCTGCTTTTTTCCCATAAAGACAAGTCTCACTTCATCCTTTGCAATCACTGTGATTTTTGTTTTCCCTGTACAGTTATTCAGATCTCATTCCAGAATTCATCACCAAGTTCATTAACAGATTTCAGTTTGTTCTGTGTTTAAGGGAAGATGGTTTGTGGCTTGACTCTGGGAAAATGCACAAAAGAAGGCAGCAGCTTGTTTCTCAGCTCCTGTCTTTGCATTTTCCGCTCAAGAACCAGGAAAAATGTAAGCATGTAAATCAGGAAGCACATGTATCTTGCAGGATTAGCATCACACATTTCTCTGAAGGCAGAGAAATGACAGCACACCTTCCACTCTCAAGATAGAAAAATTGATGATGTACCATTTCAGGAGTGGTTTTCTCGTGTTCCTCTGCCAAGCTGCTGATCTGAAATCTTATTTATATTTCATTCATCTCTCTTTCAGTAATAGCAGCTCCTCCATTGGTACTATAATTGTTTATGTTATGACAATGCCTCAAGTGAGGTTAAGACTGTAGGAGGTAAACATATGCAACATATAAACATATACAATCTACAATATAGGAAATCCATCAGGATTCATTTGGTACATTCTGATTCCCTTGGCCTTGAGCCAGTTTTACACAGTTGGTGCTCAGGCTATGAAATATTTCTTGGAGGATTATTATCCAGACATTGTAAGACATTTTCTTGTAAGGATCTATTCCTACAGAAATTTAAATGGAAATGCAGAGAATTTTTTCCAAGTAATCCCAAGAGTGTAAATTTAGGAAACAAAAGGCCAAAACCTTTAGAAATTGTCCTAGTAAGTATATTCTGGAGGCAAAAGCTTAATTCGGATCAGCTTTTTGATGGAGTGTAAGTATTTCAAGGCAAAAAAAAAAAAAATTATTCTAATGTTCATGGTTATTAATGAAGTGTCTTCTTCTGGCATTTAAAGCTTAAACCAATGATGGTCCCACTAGATTAACCTGACACTATGGCTATCACTGACCATCAGATTTCAACCTGTAACCATACAATAAAATAAACCATAACTTCTGCTCATCTAAAAAATAATTTTCAGAAATATATCTGATCTTCAACAGAAGACATAAACCAATGGAAAATCCTCAGCTTCTCTTGGGAATGTGTTCTGCTGGTTAACCATGTAAGAATGTGCATCTTATTTCCTCTCTGAATTTGTCTGGCTTTTGCCTCCGGCCATTACATCTTATTATGCATTTCTTCAATAGATTAAAGAGTCCTTTAATATTCTGTATTTTCCTCCAGGAATGTTCCTATACAGTACAATCAAGTCACCACCCAATCCTCTTTTAGAAAACTTTTAACAGCCTGACCTCTTAAAACCTGCTAGTGTAATGCATTTTATCCAACCATCAGAACATTTTGCTTCACTTCTGCTCTTATTTTCCAACGTGCTTCTTAAAAACTGAAAACCAGAACTGTATGCATTACCCCGTGGATGGTATTGTTGAGGTCAAACACAAGAAGCAAAATAAACATTTTTTTATTCCTTTGTTTATACACTGATTAATCCTTTCCTGCCACAGCAGCATACAGGACAGACCTTATCTGATTGCTTACTTATTCTGACCCTTAAATCCTTCTCAAAGTCATTACCTTCCCAGGATATAGTCTTCTATTCTCTAGTTACAGCCTCCACACTTGGTTCTTAAGGCAGACAGCTTTATATTTGGCTGGCTTAAAATACACTAAGTTTGAATGGGATGCTTCTACCAACTATTCTGATCAGTGCCCCATCCTCATTATTTGGGATTCTATTAACCCTGGAGATGAATTTTTGCAGCAGCAGGTTTAGATCTGCTTCCAGATGATTTCTTAAAATGTTGTACAACATAGGACCTACTACTGGAACCTCTTTAGACACTATCTCTTTCAACTCAGTTTTCCTACAGACATCCTTAAGATCTGGCAGCAAATTCCATCTGCATGGTTTATTGGCACTGCATGCACCCAACGTGTGTGAATATCTTGCAGCACTAAATCTGAGGCAATTACCTCTTCAAAACAGTATTATTAGCTATTTTTACCAAAACATTGTATAGATTTCATAGAATCATAGAATGGTTTGAGTTGGAAGGGACCTTAAAGATCATCTGTTCCAAACCCCCTGCCCTGGGCAGGTCCCCCTTCCCCCAGCCCAGGGGGCTCCCAGCCCCGTCCAACCTGGCCTTGAACCCTTCCAGGGAGGGGGCAGCCACAGCTGCTCTGGGCACCCTGGGCCAGCGCCTCACCACCCTCACAGGGGAGAATTTCTTCCTAGTATCTAATCTAAATCTATCCTCTTTTGTTTAAAACCATTACCCCTCATCCTAACACTACACTCCCTGATAGAGTCCCTCCCCACCTTTCCTGTTGCCCCCTTTAAGCACTGGAAGGCCATTATAACATCTTCCCAGAGCCTTCTCTTCTTCAGGCTGAACAACCCCAAATTTCTCAGCTTCTCATCAACCAACACCTCCAAGACCTCCTTTGGGCTGCTCACAATCCACTCCTCACCCAGCCTGTATTTGTTCTTGGGATTGCCCCAACCCACGGGCAGGACCTTGCACTTGGCCTTGTTGAACTCCATGAGGTTTGCCCAGGCCCACCTCTCCAGCCTGTCCAGGTCCCTCTGGATGGGATCCCTGCCCTCAGCGTGTCACCGCGCCACACAGCTCGGGGTCATCAGCAAACTTGTGAGGGTGCACTCGGTCCCACTCTCCATGTCTCCAACAGAGATGTTAAACAGAGACAGTCCCAGTACTGACCCCTGAGCAATGCCACTGGTCAGTACTTTCAAGCCACTGATCACAACTCTTTGAGTGTGGCCATCCAGACTATTCCTTATCCACCAAGTGGTCTGAGTGGACTTATAATATATTCCTTCATTTAAACTTTTTATTATTTGAATCCCACATCAGATTTTCTGTTTTGGTTAAGATAGCTATTAAGCTAATTAGTCATACCTACTTATAATTAATAATTCTTCCCCGTTTCAAAACCGGTACAAAACAGCACATTTATCACTTGTTTAGTCTCCTAGTTTTAAGGTAAGATAGAAATATATTGGAGTATTAGCAAGCCATAGATCACTACCAGTTGGACAGGCAGAAGCATCAGAGAACACTGGTGACCAAAGCTCTCATTTCTCATGGCACTTCCACACTGGACACCCCAGCAAATGTGGACTTTCAAAGTATCTAAAGATAAGTTTTCTGGTCCTGTCGAACTTTAAGCCATGTACATCCACCCTGGAGGTGGTGTGGAATCTCCTTCTGACTGTGGAGAGCCGAGCTAATGCACGACCCCTTCCCTCAGGCCCAGCAGAAACCTCCCGGAGCTGCCGCCTGCTCATCCTTGTGGGTAACCCACCACCTCCATCGCTTAACCGGCCTGACCGCTGGGGCTAAGACCACTCACAGTCCCTCCTTGAAACCCGCTTTCCCTCTCATGTTTACCCCACCAGATTTAGGCTTCTGAGGTCGATCCGGGCAAAGGAGGGGGCAGAGGAGGGGGCAGAGGAGGGCAGGGGCAGCCCTGGGGGGTGCCGATGCCAGACACGGCGGCTGAGGTGAGGACACCAGCAGCTCACCCGAAGCCAGAAGGAAGAACGACCAGCTTTCCGGGGACCCGCCGCGCCGCTGACCTGCCCGCGGAAGGACCCGTCGCCGCCCCTCAGGCAGCCACACGCCGCCATCGCGCTCCATCACCCCCGGCCCCCTCCGCGCCTCAGCCTCGAAGCCACCGCACGCCGCCACCGCCCCGCCGCCTCGCGCCCGGCCCAGCCCCTGATTGGCTCCCCGCCCAACGGGAGGGAGGGGGGGGGGCGGGACCGGGAGGGAGCCGCGGCCAATCCGCGCCGCGGTGAGGTTTCCCCGAGGAGGTCCCCGCCCGCCGGGGCGGGGGTTGTGCGCAGGCGCGGCGCGGCGGGACGGGGCGGGGCGCGGGGAGGCAGCGGGCGCGGAGCGGCGGGCGTGAGGGGTCGGAGCCAGGCGGGGTCGGTCGCACTGCGACGCCTCCTCTTCGAGAGGGTTTATCCTCAGGGAACGGTTCCCCCTCCCCGCGGCGCGCACGGCAGCCCCCGGCCCTTCCGCCGCCCCTCAGGCGAAGCCCCCTCAGATCCCCGGTAGCGTCTCGCCGCCCTCAGTCGTTTTCCCCCCCACCTCCCCTTCTCCGCCCTTGTCCTCCCGCCATGGCTCTCTGCCGGCGCTTGGCCCGGCTGGCCGCCTACCTGCAGGACCCGCGGAAAGTGGCCGCCTTCCAGCGGCTCTGCGGGGTGGAGGGGCCTTCGGGCTGGGCCGACGCGGAGCAGCGAGCCGGCAGTCGGGGGCCGATGGTTAACGGCGGCCCTCCGGCCGCGGAGGGGGCAGGAGGGCCGGGGCACCCCGCCGGGAACGGGACCGTGCCCGGCGGGGCGGGCCCCCCGCAGCGGTGGAGGAGGAGGCCGCGCCGCAACTCCCTCACGGAGGAGGACGGCAGCCAGGAGTTCTCCACTCGCAGCCGCTTCCTCTACTATCTCTTCAGCCTGGGCACGGAGCTGGGCAACGAGCTCTTCTACATCCTCTTCTTCCCCTTCTGCATCTGGAACTTGGACGCCTGGCTGGGCCGGAGGCTTATCATCATCTGGGTGTGGGTGATGTACCTGGGGCAGTGCACCAAGGATGTGATCCGCTGGCCGCGGCCTGCCTCCCCGCCCGTGGTGAAGCTGGAAGTCTTTTACAACTCCGAGTACAGCATGCCCTCCACCCACGCCATGTCGGGCACCGCCATCCCCCTGGCGCTCCTGCTGCTCAGCTACGGCCGCTGGCAGGTAATGCTCACCTCCTTGTCCTTCTCCCTGTGTTCTCAGCCTCGGGGTAGAAGGATGTGACAGGCTTGATTTCTTTTGAGAGGGGAGGTGGCTGGGTTTGTTTGGGAAAATGTGAAATTTGTGTTTTTTTTCCTCCCCCTCCCGCTTCTCCCCCATTTCTTTTAATTTTTCTATGATCCAAGCGAGTGCTCGGGTAACAAGGTTTATTCTAATGATTTTGTCTTCTGGATGGAAGTTCTGCTGATCTTTGTGAATGGTTAGCTCAGTATGCATTGAAAGTCTATGTTAACAATCTGCACTTTGTTCTTGTGAGACTTCAGAAAATTTACTTCTTGTAGGGTGAGTGCTTTGCACAAAGTTTGGATAGGCATCTGTTATTTTTACAGGCACTCGGTTTTACTGACTGAGATTTTAATGGAGTGCCAGGAATTAAAGGGCCCTTTGCTGATCCTTTGCTTTGAGTCACTTTGTAGTTTAAGTCAGTCTGTAGTTTTAGTCTCTTTTCTAATGCTGTCTTTTAGTTTCATTATCCATTAACTGGAAATGGTTATTTTCTGTTTTGAGGAGTACATGCACTTTCAGATGGTTTTAGAACTATTAACGTGCTAATCATTAGCAGGAACTGATAATCTCTGATTTTTTCACTACCTTCATTCGGTAAAATCTTAAAATCTGCCTGTTACACTTTGGGTCAGTAGATCGAGTTAAAATAACACTGTTGATAATCTGATTTATGCAAGCTGTAGCATTTGCATTGGTGCTTGCTGTTAGCAGTATGGGCAGCAGTAAGAACTCCAGAGAAAACACAACAGATATTCAGCTTTAAATCACTGCACCAATTTCAGTAGGAACTGAGGGAATAGGCTTTCCCAGGCAGTGTATGTTCAGTGTAGGGTTTTGAGGGCTCTGTGTGTAATGCTTTTGAGGGCTCTGTGTGTAAGAAGTTATGAAATAAGTCTGCTCTTAAATTGCTAATGTTTACAAATTCTTATTATAATACCTGCCTATTTTAGGGCAGATGTGTTACTCTTACAATCACCAGTTGTCTGCTGTCACAGTGTGACACTTTGGGTTCTATCTCAGCATAGAGAATGAGTGTCTGAAAGGAAGGAGATAGTTGGAGGTTAGAGATTATATTTGGCCTCTCTTTAACCAAAGTTTATGTATATACTTCTGCAATGTGATACAGTGTGCTCAAAAGAAAGCTACTACAGATTCATATTCTTTGCTAGGAAAATATGAGGTGTTACTGCTAGAGTTGTGCAGCCATTGGATAATGCCATGTTTGTGGGTGTTTGAAATAAATATTTGGACTTCTGTCACTGAGATGCTTAATCTTCAAATTGATTTTTTTTTTTTTTTTCAAATGACTAGCTAAAATCTGAATATTTGATTATTACTTATTAGATGTGTAGGGCTGATGTCACTTGGAAGAATGAACCGGATTTCTCTTTGCATGTGGGAAACCTCATTTAGTAGTACCAGTTGATTAGCTTTGCAAAGACTGATGTTGTGTACAAAGGAGAACTTGGCTTGGTTACTTTTATAGAACCAGCAAACTGACAATGTGTGAAATGGTATTTTTGCCAGTGAACCAAGTTCAATCTTTGGTTTGCCAACTCTGAAACTGTGATCTGTGAAGTACTGTGCTAATTGACTAAACATATTTCTAATGAGTGCATGTTAAGGAATCGTAAACATTCAGCCTTGTTATTATTCATTTAGAACCATGCTTAAGAAATGAGGAAGCAAAGTGAGTCGTAATTGTAACTCCTTTTCCCTATGAAATGGGCATGAATAACAGACCTCTTTGAAACCAACTTCAACCATTTAAAAATGTTCATTTAAAAAAACCCAACCAGCCATACTGATTTTAAAATTGTTTCCAAATGTTAATCAAAAGTTAACTTACGACATGTTGAGTATCTTGATTCACCTCTAAAGAGAGTTAAGCTTTCATCTAATGCTTCTGCTGTTCTCCGTATTTTACTTGTGTTGAAAGAGAGCAGAATCTATATGACAAATTCTCACACTTTTTTGGAAGTAGGTGGGGTTAAAAAAGACTGACCTCAGAACTCCTTGGAAAGCTATTAATGGTAAAGGGCATATAAATGCTAAATCAGTAATAATTCTGATTTTTATTAAATTATACACATTTATCGGTAGATACAGATAGATAGATTTAAACTTGTTGGCAAATGTTAGGATACAGTCTTTCTATATATTCAGTATAAGCAAGCATTACACAGACCCTGATCATGAGTCCACATCTTGGGACTGTTTGTTTGTTCAGTAGAGTCATAGTGGAGCAAGACTGAGTGTGAATTTAAGCAGATACAGCTATAACTCTCTGCAAAAACTTTTATTCTGGAATACATGTAACTTTGAAGTTTATACTAAAGCAAAGCAAACCACTCCTGCTCTAAAAATGGTTACTTCAGTGAGAAGGGAGTCACTTTCCTGTATAGCTGCTTTGGAGTTTGCTTTCACCAGTCTATGACTTCCTAGTACCTTATAAGAATTCTTGTCTATCAAAGAAAGTCTGAGTCTTTCCCTTCAACAACACAGAGAACAGAACAAATCTACTGTTATTTTTCTGGGTACGGCCGAAATTGTTGCTTTAAAAACACTTCTTTTCTTTTTTTTTTTTTTATTCCAGTAGGTTTTCTTTTAACCTGTTGAATTAAGTTTGTGTTTCCTAGTTTTCATTGCCTATCAGTACTCATTTTCATTTCATGTAGTATTCAAAAGGATTTTTGACTGTACACAGTGAAACAAAACTATTTGTTTATAAATGCAATTGTTCAGGTAAAATATTTTCAGAGATTATGTATTTTACATTTTACCAGAGATGGTTGTGACAGATTTTCCCAATTAGAGCCTTTGGACATAGGGAATACTCAATGCAATCAACCTCCAGACAGAAACAAATTGTATGATAGGATAATTTTCATAATAGTTAACTGTTCTGTCTGTTGTGGAATATAATTTTTCAATTTCTCCTTGTATTACAAGAGTTTGCCTGAAACTTTGGATTCCACTTGCATAATCTGTACAGATTTATTTATTTAATATTGTTAAATCTCAGCAGGGAAAAATACTTGTTTCAGTGACACTTCAGTAACCTTGAAATACAAAGCTCATGCCAAAGCCTCATGAGAATTTAGGAGTGTTATAGATGTTGATATTTTCTTTTTGTCTTTGAAATTCTGATACCCTGAAAGAGGAGGACAAACACTTAAAAGATAGTGAGATTATAGATCTTAATATGATGTAGGAAAAAGTATACCTTTGTCAAATCGGGGAGAACCTGCTTTCTTTGAAATACTGACAGTTTGAGCTGGGCTGGTTTATATTGTGTCCTTAACAGGGAGGAAGAGATAGTGTGAACTGATAATTATCTACAAACTCTCCAAAAGCCTAGAGCTGAGACCACAGGGAAAAAGTCGTGTTTATATTTTGATTACTTTGAACTGCTGATTTCAAACAGATATCAACACATTTTATTAGAAATAGTTAGGGTAGTACTTGAATGTGTCATAATCCTGCAGTTTTATGGGGGGGGGGGGGGGGGAGGGGCGGGGAAGGGGAAGAGAGAAATCAGTCAAGGAGACAGAAAATAAACTTTTTTCCCAGAGTTCCTCCAGGATGCATCCTGGCTCAAGGAGCAGTTGGCTGGATTAGGAAGTGATGGGGTCCTACTTCTCCCTGAGCTCTGCATTAATGAGCTGAGTCAGGAACTGCTGACTCTCACTGTAGGCCATTGAATGAACTTCATTAAGTTGATATTCAGCAGGAACCCAGAGCCTTGATTGATGAGTAGCTGGCCTCTGTACTAAATTAACCAAGGTTATTTGAATGGGTTTATCTTCTGAAGCAGGTTAGATCACTAAACATGACATCGTTGTCCTCCCTGTGTACTTGTCTGTCAATGTTTTGTATGCAAATCCTATCATCAGTGTCTGTCTGTCCACCACTACTGCTATACCCTCGGGAAAGTACATTTATTCTGGCATGGTTTCTTTGAGTGACACGCCTAAAAGTTCTTTTCAGTTTTTGTTTATTTAGTACTCTACTAACTCTCCTTAGTACCAAATGTGTAAGAATGTTGTGTGGTACTGTGTCAAACACCCTTCCAGAAATCTTTCATTCACACCATTACTTTTATGAACCAAAGCTGATGAATCTAATCAAATGAAATGGGTTTGAGAGGATCTGTATTGGCATTTCAGAGAGATCTGCATCATTCTGTGATTCTGATTGACTGCTACTGAATACTACCTCTAGAATTGTCTGCCTGTTCTTTCATTCCAAAAGGCTAACTTCCCTCAGACCCCCGCTGGGAATGGGGAATAATTGGTTAACAGGGTTGGATGAATAGTCCAATCATGACACTGCTATAGTGAGAATTTTACAGAAAGTGGGCAAATCCTAGTTTTAAGTGTCTGTCCTTGTTGAAAAGCTTGCATTATCAGCAGAATTGATGTAATGATAAAACTGGAAGCTACACATAGGAGGCTATCTCTTATATACAAAGTCTGTGTGTAAGAGCAAGTACAGACTCCTTTCAGAAAGAGATGCTTCATCTCTCAGAGAAGCCCAAATGGATTTTGGCTGAAATACTAAAATGTTATGAAAAAACTTAGGCAGAGAGATGCTTATCTAATTAGTTTTCTTACATGTGTTTCTTAAAATAAACAATCAAACAAAAACTCTTCTGACACGAGAAGCATAGCTGAAGGGGTGATCTGAAACCCCCGAATTGCCCATGCAATTAAGAGCTCTCGAGAAAGAGAGATGGGAATTTGGAGGGTCAGCACTGACCTTGTCTCCTGTGTCTGAGTTGTAAGGTCTTCTTTTGTGAGTCATATTAATGCCTGTAGTTTATTTGTGAAGGAAGCTGGTAAAAGTTGTGTGGTCCGTTTGATTCAGGTGCTCTTAAAAGTTTGAAAAGAGCATAGCTAGGTCTTGCAAATCCCGTTGGGGAATCTCTGCTAGCC